CTCTTCAACTGATGAAACAGGATAGTTAGGTCTTTTAGTTTGACGACCAGTTAAACGGGGCAGTTTTTCTTCGACTTCTAAGTTCAACATAATTTCTTTTGTTTCAATATAGAGTTCATGGAAATTTTCAATAGAGTTTTTTCTCTTTTCTTCAAGATTATTAATAACATCAGTTATAATTTCTTTAGTTTGACATACATCTTGCCATTCTGCTTGTAGTAGTTTACTGATCTTAGATGTCACGCACAATACACTTGATAGACACTGCAATCCATTAATAAATTCACATGTACAAAGTGCCGACAATAATATTTTTGCTTTTGATGAAGAAATTTGTTCTTGCCAATTCGAAATTAATGATAAAGATTCTACAATATCAGACAAAGAAGATTTGAAAATCATGATACAATCATGGCGTTCAACCCATCTGGTCTCACACAAACTTTTTAGATGTGGTTTGTGATTTAAAACTTTTTTTAAGACAAAATTGCGTTTAGACGACAAATTAAAAAAAGAAATTACATCTGTGACTATCCCTATGGTATTACGGATTACTTGTACATTAGATGATTTAGATATTGATAGGTTTAATGCATGGTTTGAACATGGGCAATGTAAAGCATTTGTTGCATGCGATTGGACTTTTTTGACAGCACCTCTTGTAATAGACACCATAACTGCACATCCATCAGTGCCTATTCCAACACAGTTTTTTAAATTTAATGTCAAACTCTTCAACATATTTACCACAACTTCTCCCAATATATCACCAGTGAGCTTTGGTTCAAATGTCTCTGGATTCCTCTCAACCTGTTCAATTGTATCATCGTCAGTTGCAGTGGCATCATAAATATCATGGCAGTTAATAAAACCCATGAAGCATTCCTTTATAATCCCTTTATATGGATATCTAATTATTAAACTCATTTGTGAAATATGACTAATATCCGTCGTTTCATCAAATAAAATACTATAATACTTGCTTTCATGAATTTCTTTAACAATTTCTTCTGTAATGTAAATTTTGCAACATTCAATGATATCATTCTGAATAACTGGACTAATGTAGGTAGCTTTTGAATGAGTAGACTTCAAGTGTTTTTCCAGATCAGAATCTCCACATGAAATTCTTAATTTTAGGAGTTCTCTAAAATTACCTTTATTGATTGTAGAATTCATATCTGATGTTGTTGGTAATAAACTATTAACTTTCTGATAGAAATGTCCTGAATCATAGTGCCCTCTTAAAGGTATATTTTGATGACCAAGAAAAATTATTGTTTCTATTATTGGTTTTAGCCTTTTTCTATTTTCTTCAATTTGTTTCAATCTATCAGTATTAATAATATTGATTACCTCTTTGTGAGGATTTTTGTATCTCAGTAAAAAATCTTCAGCAATTTGAATACTATCAATATGATATTGATTTTTTACTATGCACTTCAAAATCACCATCTTTTCCTAAGATTTTTGCATATTTATTTAGTGGTTCTTTTACCAATTTATTTAATTGTGTTGCTCTATCTTTTCCACCTTTATTACTAAATAATACACAATATTTGCAGAAAACACCATTTTTTTCGTAAGAATACACTAGCCATTTGTATTTTTCAAAATGTGATCTATTCAAAAACCTTCGTTCCTCCTTGTTTTTCTTTATGTGAGTCGAGAATGGGTAAACAAAATCATCTTTAGGAATATTAGGTAGTTCCAATAATTTTACCTTAATGTCGTCAGGAATTTTTGAAAATGTATTCTTTAAAAAATAACCTATATCACTAATATCACTTGTAAATTCGTTTAAATTACTTGTAGTAGGCGGTAAATTATTAATCTTATCGTCATTTAATTTTGTCAATTTTGAAGTTTGTTTTTTTTCTAAAGAATCTAATAATACTTCATTTAAACAATTTGGTGATTTATTTGTTTTATTGCAGTCAATCGTAGTAGAAACACTAGAAACATTTGGTCGTTTTATCACCCACGAAGAAAGCGAGCTTTGATCAGTAGAAGTTCTTTTACCCATATTAATATTTTTAATATTTCACTTACACAACAAAGAAAAATAAATTAAATTAAACACTAAACGACTCAAGTATCAAACGAACAATGTACAATGTACGTTATCTCATGACTAAACAAACAGGCATGATCGCTAGATTACTACACGCATATTTTATACTTCCCCAGACTTGGAAGAAAAACTAATATCATAGAAAACTCATGGAAAAAAATGTTATTTTTATTTATATGAAAGATGGACGCGTAATTTTAAATGTAGTATTTTCTCAACATAAATTTATAATACTAAATATATACAAACATAACTTGGGTAATGGGGGGGGGCTATCGCCCCCATCGCCCCCCCCCCCTCAAATACGCCACTGGTAGCACCTAAAAGTATGTATAAATATTGTCAATTGTCATGACGTATATACGGTAAACGGGAAAAAAGTCCCCGGTAAGAAAGTCCCACGGAAACAAAGTCTCTCATTGTAGAATAAATAAAACGATATTTCCTCTATACTGTTATATACTGGTATATCTATGTTTCTAAATAAATTGGGTTCACAAATCTTATATATTATTATATGTTTAAGATATTATATTATTTTCAATAAATTTAAAATGTATTTAATTATGTATATAAATACTTATCAACAATAATTTTTAATCCTAGAAAGGTATCTATTTAATTTAGTTGATTGTTAATAATTTTCAATACAAATATGTAACATGTTTTACCTATGGGCTATGTACTTAATAAATACCTATATGATAAAAGACAGAATTTAAATCAAATAGTAATTTGGAGACTTTTTTTTTCCGTGAGACTTTTACCGGGAACTATTGGAACAAATGCACTTTACCACGCCCCTCACAAATTCCGATTTTTTTTTTAAAAAATACGTGTTTTTCAACGCTGATTTCGAATCTGTTTGAATTTTGGTGCGGAAACCATTATTTTGGAAGTTATAGCCTTCCAAAGTTTGCGATTTTACGTTTATACGCATGCGCTCAACACCACTATGCATTACCGCCGCGCGGAGCGTGTATAACCTATTTAAATTCTTTTTACGGGGACAATAATTTTAAAGTTGAAATTCAATTTTTTTATTTTATTGTATATTGTACTTATACACAATGTTAAATATTTAATAAACAATATTATCAGCATTTTCTTCATCTGTTTCAAAATTGCACAAAATTGCACATTTTAATTGGTCTTCGTTCTATTTTTATATCAATATCGCTATTTTATAACTATTTCATTATAACTAAATTGTATATTATTACAAATATTGTTATATTCAATTATCTTGATGATAATTATATCAGGTAGATAAGCTAATGAGTATATTGTAGTACCTATTATACCTATATACCTCCGCTCCGCAAATCGAAAATATCCCCCGACTTGCTGTGCAACACCTCCACAAGTGGGTCACAGGGTTGAGAAAATTGCATTTTTGTTGCACCGAGCCACCAATTTGAAAAAAACATCGTACAGTGATGCGGCACTCGTCGCTACGCTCCTCGGCGCCGTCAATGCGCTCCGCAAATCGAAAATATCCCCCGACTTGCTGTGCAACACCTCCCCAAGTGGGTTACAGGGTTAAGAAAATTGCATTTTTGTTGCAGTTATGTTGTATAGTATGGGCAGTGATCCCTTGTTAGCGGCACTCGTCGCTGCGCTTCTCGGCGCCGTCGCTCCGCGCGGTAATATAGTAATGTTGCGCGCATGCGTATAAACGTAAAATCGTTAACTTTGGGAGGCTATAACTTCCAAAATAATGGTTTCCGCACAAAAATTCAAACAGTTTCGAAATTAGCGTTGAAAAACACGTCTTTTAAAAAAAAAAAAAAAATCGAAATTCGTGAGGGGTGTGGTAAAGTGCATTTTAGCCGGGACTATTTTCCGGGGACTTTTTTTCTTACATATAGACCTATAAACTAATGGATTGCGCCTCCCTCACCACCCAACCATCACTGAGTAACGCCAATATAGAGTGAGTAAGAAGGAACATAGTGGGGGAATCTTGATGGAATCATATAAGAGAAAGAGAGGAAAAACATAATGTGGGAAATCATAGACTTACGAAACTAATACTGTATATTGGACCTCTTACCTCTCTCTCTAATGCCGGGTTGCATAAAAGCGATGATTAAATTAGTTTAAGGGTTTGTTTTAATGAATGATTAAAATACTTTTAATGAACCGATTAATGTACTGATTAATTAACCGTGTTGCATAAAAGATGTATTAAACTACTTTTGGTTTATACCTAGTATGTGGTTTTTGTCTTTTTGATAATTTTGTTATCACCGAATTGAGAAGATAATATTAATTATTAATACAAATCACGATTAAAGATATATATATATATATTTATATCTTTAATCGTGGTACAAATTGAAAATATACTCATATATATAATATAATGAAAATATTATGGTAATTGCCAATTGGTAAATATTAAGTCAATACGAGTCTTTGTCCTGTGAAGTGTGAGTGCCGATTGATGTGTTTTGTACTTTCGTAACGAAAGTTTCGTTTGTACATTTGTTGAAAGGTGTAGGTTCCTATAAAACTAAAAAATGGAAGACAGCATGTGTGAAGTTAAGAAGAGACAGCGGGGTAAAAATTTTACGGAACGTGAAAAAGAGTATTTGATTGATCTTATTTTGCCATATAAATCAATTATTGAAAATGTTAAAGTAAGTAAATTTTTTTATTTAAATTCACTGAATAAGTTTGTTTGTTATAATAAAGTACTTATTAACATATTGTACATAAAAATATTGAAAATATAAATATTTACTACCTAGGTACCTACCTAATAACATTTTTTTCAATTCTATTTCTGCATTAATTTAAAATAATGTTTATAGACTGATGCTGTGTGGAATAATAAAAAAATGAGGCATGGTCAGAAATTGTTAATGCCTACAATGCAATTCAAACGTCTGGTGTTAGAAATATAGGCCAAATAAAACATATGTATGATACGCAAAAAAGGGAAGCCAGAAAAGAAAAAAGTCAGTACAAGGTCTGTATAATTTTATGAATTGTTAGAATCGTTACAGTACCTATTTATATCAGTAGTATATTATGTAGTACTTACTATTTAAAATTACTATTAATAATAATATTTGATAAATTTGTCTTTAGTTGTGAAATTATAATACAAGTTGAAAGGTAATACTCCCCTGCCTATTTGTTAAACATTTGAATCTTTCTTGCTGAAATCATCATTACAACATTGCATCAATTTAAATTATAAACAGTTCATTAGTATAATCACCCAATTTAATTAGCATGATATAATGGTTTAGAGAAATTACTTAGCACACTATGTTACGTTACTATGTTAGTGTTTTCATAATTATATATTTAATTTAGGTGCAGCATTATAAAACTGGGGGTGGTACAAATCAGTCAACACTATCAAATGTTACACAAAAAGTTATAGGTCTACTCGGTGACAGGATGGATCCACTTTTAAATAATGTTGATGGTGATGCTGACTATAAAGCTAGTAAGTAGAACATTTCTACATTAATAGTATAAGATAAAGTTACATGAAACATTATTTAATGAACTAATTTATTAATTTATTCAGTTCAAGATATAAGTGGTGACCAGATAATTGTAGAAGACATTTCGGGGGATGAATTTAGTCTTCTTTGCCAAGGTAGGTATATTATTAATAAAATTAATTTAATGTTTTCATTAAACAGACATCCAACATGTTACATGTACATCAGTATAGTTTATTCACCAAAAAAAGTTATAAACAATAATTACAACTAATAGATTTGGACATATTATAGTAGAAGACAGGCATGTTTCAATATTTTATTAAATTTCATTTAAATGTTAATCAATTTATATTATTTAATTTAATTATTTGTTTATCAATTCCATTTTTCTTCTTTATCAATTAAGAGGACATCGTACCCACATGACGTGTTGTCTCCGTCATACACAATCAATTACAAGTGTACAACATAACAAATTTTTTGTTCATCAGTTTCAATAGTGTACTGTTAGTTTTATTTTAATTTTTAAGTGAGTTATGAGCAAGCCTGAATTAAAGGGGCCCCTGGGCCCACGTATATAAAGGGCCCATATTAATACATTTTTTATTATTTTTAAAGAGTTTTTTTCATTTCTGGTAGCCCACAACCATGTATTATGTACTATAAATTGTATAACAATTAAAATATTATAAAAAAACCAACTAGAGAACACAGATTATGTTCTTACCAAAAAGTTTAAAAATAGGTCAATTCACTCTAATATCAAAATTGCTATAGAAACTTTGTAAACGAAAATTTGCTATGTCTTACATGTGTAAGACAAAGACAACTTAAGTGGGTACGTCCTCTTAATATTTTATTAATAGCTATTCAAAATTCCTATCATCCTTTTCATAATTATTGTTTCTATTTATTCCAAACCTATATTATTGTGTAATACATGTATAATAACTGGAGTCTTACAATAGATTCATAGGCGTGCTTAGACAATTTTTATAAATAGAGAAAATTTCCAAATTCTATGAACTTGACAGTGTAATAAATTATTTCACTAACAAAAAAAATGAATCTATAGAAAAACAACATAATATTATGTTCCTTTTCCATAAAACATACAATAGCAAATTTTAATGTACTTATCCAAATAAAATTATTCATATACATATCCAAATAGTAGGCAATCAAATTTTACCCATGGGCACGCCTATGATTAGTCCTTTCTTTATTTAAAATAATTCCTTCCTATCTTTTTCAATGTTGCTAACAGCTGATTTGGATCAAAACAATTCAAATCTGAGTATTTTGCACAGATCCACACCCAAAACTTCCAGTTCCATTTCCTTTCCTTCTGACACTCCTCAACACGTCTGGCATGCAGAATCTTCATCAAACTCATCATTAAATAAAACCAAACCGACAAGTACTACTAGTAATAAGAAAATTTATGAAGGCCTCGCCATTTTAAATAATAAAAAATTGGAAAAAACAGAAAAAACATCCAAATTTGAGAACGAATTGTACAAAATTAAGCTTCTTAAAGCAAAATCAGAATTGGAAACTTCTCGATTAGAACACGATCTTATGGCCAAAAAATTCAAATATGAGTCGGAAAAGATGGAGAGTGATGTTCGTCAAAACAAATTAAAAGAGGAAATGTTATTACTCGAATTAAAACACAAAAAAAAAATGTGGGGAATGGAATAACTATTCTAGCTATTATTATTATTATTATTAGCTATATAATTATAATATATATAATAATAATAATATATTATATTATTCTTCACTATGCTTTAGTACTAATTATTTCTCAATTATATACAGTTTTTAATTTTATATATTCTTACATTTTTATTAGTTCAGCTTTAAAATTATATTAAATCTTAACATTTTATTCTACATAAAAAACTTTTCTTTCTTATTAACATTATTACTTACCTACCTAATTTATTAACTAATTAACTATGCTAACAAAATTGCCAATCTTTCTAACAAGGTATGTCTGACCTTACATATTAATTATTATTGAATTTAGAGCATAAAAAACAAATGATTGTACTTGAATAAAAAATAAAATTCCATGTTCTAAAATGTTATTATGTTTCTAGGAAAAAACTGAATTAATTAATTGTGATCTGACTAAATTTCCAGTCTGTCTTATGGGATTTGCATTAAATTCATGTAAGAACTCTGGTCTAATTGGCTCTTCATTATGTGGCATTTCATCCCGTTGTTGTAATAACATATTATATAATACAGCGGTGGCGACAATAGTCTTCATAGATGTACTAAGCTGGGTGAGTATTCTAACAGCTAGAACAGGAAATCTTCTTTTCCATACACCAAAGACCCTTTCAATAACATTCCTTGTAGCAATATGTGCTCTCTATAAAAAAAAAATTACATGCACATCCTATTTGTATGCTTAATTTATGCATATATTCAAATTCTCGTTTTTGGAATTTTAAATACATTTGAAAACAATATTACTTGAGATTGTATGTACCACTTAAAGATAATACAAACTTCTGTTTTTCAAATAGGAACCACTTTTTTCATTTTGAATTAGGTTTTCAGATTTTTTTGAAAGAGTAATTTTTTAGTTATATGATTACTAAGGATAATGGTAATAGATTAAGTAGAGATGGGGGCTTTAGTTGTTTATTTACTTGATAATTTTCTTCTGCTTGTGTACTCGTGTTTAAGAGTGGAGTCATTAAATAATTTCGACATGGATAACCACCATCCCCAATCAAAAAAACATTATTCCCATATTCATGATTTTCAAACTTTGCTCTGACTAAAGAATTGTCAAAAATCGTACTGTCATGAACAGATCCTGGCCATCTATAATATATAATCATTAATATATACTATCTAGTCTATACTGTATAATATTTTATGCCTACCGAGAAACGATATTCATAATTTCCATATTACTGTTGCATATAACCTGAACATTAAAAGAAAAATACCCTTTTCTGTTACGAAACCGTTCACCAATATCACTATTAGGAGACTGTATCCGTATATGAGTGCAGTCTATAGCACCAATAACCCGTGGGAAATTTCTTGTTTTATAAAACCCTGTTTGAACAATACTTCTTTCATGTGCGGTCCGAGGCATGTTTATAAACTGAGGGTAAAGACGAGCAATAGCAGTTGAAACTCTTTTAATAGTTCTACATACAGTAGATTTATTAACTCTGATATGATCACCAATAACTGCCTGAAATTAAAATTGTATAACTAATATATTTATATCTATCGCTTTAAAATGTAATTATTTAATTAGCGAAACTATAATGTTTATGCTTATTATATTGTGATAAAATTTTATATAATTTTTACTTGAAATGTTCCAGTAGCATAATAACGAAGAGTTATTAACACTTGTACTTCTGGAGACAGTGCAACATTTCTTTTTGTTTCGTGTTTAACATCTTGAACAATAAGATGCATTAAGACACCAAAACTTTCTTTTGAAAGCCTATTAATTAAAAGATAATATTTATTAGATATAGATGCAATTGCACATATACCTATATATATAATATATAAAGCAGTGGCGTGCCGAACTGACAAGCAGACCTAAGGCAAACTATACAATTTGATCCCACTCCCCACCACCAACAGTTAATAATAAATGTTATTAAGTTTTTTAGGTATAAGTTGCACATCTATATTAACACTAGTGCTTGTGTGTCATGTACTTTATTAATTTGATGTGTGTAATAAACAATCATGTGCATCTTAGTACCTATAGTGTTAACCCATTGATGTATATATATATATGGTATTTATACCATGTAGGTATAAAAATGTACTATTACTTATGTTTTAATGAATTATTTTCCTAAATTATATTATTGCTAGTACTTCTATACATACAGCAACCTATTAAAAATAATATGTGCCAAATCTCTAGGTACAGTTAATTATATGGGAGGGGAGGGGTGAGGTTTATATTAATAATTACAATTATATACTGTCCATGTTGTAATGGGGGTTTAACCCCACCCACTACCCATGTGTATGGTTTTTTCTAGGCCTATGGCTAGGCTGAATCCGGCCCTGAATATAGTTTTATACTTATATAGACCAATATATGTGTGAAACAAGTTCAAACAAAAATTAACATATGCTCATGGACGTCATCGATCTATTTTCTCTATTCAACGAGTTGTATTTTCATATGACGTGTATTTTGGTTTTTTACGACGGTTTGTAATAGGTAATCACTAATCAAGTATCCCTAGAGGACGCCTAGGTATCTATGCAACGTACAAAAACCAAATTTTGTGTTCAAGAGTTCCAATTTTACGTAGATAGTAAGTAATCTTAATTAATATAGTGAATTTACCTATTATTTAACTTAAAAGTAAGAACATTATCTGGGGCCTGGGCTTATCATATCTATTCATTATCTCGTGAGATTTTTTTTTAAATTATTTTAACATGAAACTTGAGACATTTTAATATGTGACATAAGAATTTTAAAATTGCTCATTCCTAGGTAGTTCATCTTGATTATTGGCGACCGTTACGATTATATATACTTTTATTTACTTTTATATACTTGTCTATGACGATACTATCCTACAATGGAATTTTTAAAGTAATGCCGTGTTGGTAACTGTGACGTCAGCCGATAGACAAGATGAACAGCTGGACGGTTTATACCTATAAATAAATAATTATATTCAATATACATATTTGATATTATGAAGTCGTGTACCTACTCGATTACGATACTATACGATACACGATACACCTATAGCTGATTTTATATGCCGTAATACCTATATATTATATTTTAATATTTATAATTTATGTTTATAAACGTTAAACATACTACCTACCTAAAACGGCATTTAAAATCAAACTCATCAAATTCTTCTAGAGGATTTGATCTACCTCGGAAAAGCCTTGGTCTTGGTAGATGATACAACATATCCATGATAAATTCATCATCGGAATCCGATGTACGTATTTCCGAACTATCTGACATGATTATACCTATCTATATATTATTATATATTAATAGGTACTAAAAAATTACTGTAGATCGATAATAGATGTATAATGTTAATGTATATAAGATGCAAATTTTAATAACTAGTAGCTATAACTCGTATCGGTAGGCATATTAGCTATCTTGAGATTTGAGAAAAAATTATAATTGTGTGATAAACCGTTGCATAAAAATTTAGTGAGCCGAAATCTGATCACTAATTTAATGATCTGGTAACCTCCAGTTTAAGGAACCAATAAGTTTAATGACCGTTTAGTGAGCCATTAAATAATTTATTCATTCAATAGCGCGCTATTGGTTCATTAAAATTAATTAACGAAATTAATGACCGTTTATGCAACCCGGCATAAGCGTTGTCCATTAGTTTATAGGTCTATGGATAAACATGATAATGTTGTTCGCTTTTCTTTTTCAGAATGCTACAATTGCAGAAAACCTGGTCACCTGGCCCGCCATTGTAAGTGTATTTTGTGTATATTATATATGTGATCGTAGGCAATGCATCTAAAATATTATTTATTATGCAGGCAGGAGACCAAAAGTGCAGAGGGACCGGTCCTCCCCCGCCGGCGAAATCGTTCCCCCCCCCCGAAGGCGAGACCGGTCCTCCCCCAGTCGGCGAGCCGGTCCCCCCCTCGGCGGCGAGACCGGTCTTCTCCGCAGCGGCGAGATCGTTCTCCCCTCTGGCGGCGAGATCGGTCCCCCCTCCAGCGGCGAGACCGGTCTCCTTCGAGACAGACGACCTCACAGCGGCTGCGGGACTCGCCCCCCCCGTCGTTGGGGAATGGTGCCAGAACTTCGCACCAGCACTCGGGCCATGACCGTGGCTCGAGTGCTGTGTCATCCATGGGCCATGATATGGCCTCCATGTATGTAAGAGTGAGTATAATATTGTAATATATTTGTAATATACATGTTGGTTATAAATGTTTTTAAATACATTGTTTATAGGATGACAGCAAGCTAGTGGTAAGCTATAAAAAGTTCCTGTGTACTAATTTTTGTGTTCTTTTTATTGTCTAATTCTAATTTGTGTTTGTATATATTTTCAGAATGAATAATGTATAAAAATATATATATTATATATAACAACAGTTATTTTTAAGTGTTTTTTTTTTATACATAACCTAACCCAAGTTATATTACAACATATATATAACAGATGTTATCATATTTATAAGTTTGCATAACTCTCCTTTAAAACGGTAGGTATGCTAGGCTCGAACAAATTATTGTTGGTATGGTATTATTAGTTACCTACTGAATAATATTAATGGTAACATTAATTGTTAACCAATGGCTAATAAAAGATATGAAAATGTAATACAAGATTCCTTATAAGATTTTCTACATTTATCAAAAAAAAAAATGTCTATAAGAAAGTCAAATTAAATTTTTATGAGTGTTTGAAATTCAAATTTTTACAACATTGGAGATTCAGTCGATTTCTCATGTACCGATTTCATTATTTTGTAATTCTAAAACGAATAACTGTAGATACATGAAAATTTCACTGAATGTTTATATTAGCATTTTCTAAACACTATACAATTTTGAAAATATTTTTGAGCTGTTTATGGGCATTTTCAGTTTTCGATTTTTTTATTTTTTTTTTCTATAAATACCTATCATTAAAGTTTTATCTGTTGGGTCAAAAAGTATAAAAATTTAATACAAGGCTCCTGATATATTGTTACAATATCAATTTGAAAAATATTTCAAATACATATGCACAATTTCTTTTTATAAGCATTTAAAGATCGAATTTTGACAAAATTTATCAAAATCTCGAAAATTATCAATCATTGTAATTAATAAATTATAAAATCTTCAGTTTTTATAGCTAAGGACTGCAAATTTAAAACAGAGGTTCTCATGAATAGTTCATACTGTAACCAAAAAATCTAAAAAATATATGAACACAGTTATTTTTTACAGACATTTTAAATTCAAATTTGGACGAAATTATATATTAAAAAACCTAGAATAACTATTTTAGTTATTTTGTTGTGATTGTATAATATTATTCGTGGGTACTTGAAACTTCTAAAGTGTACTATTATATTTATATATCTATGATAGTATCACGGTTTGTTGTTGATGTATAACGCTTATAAGTACCTAATGGATATTGTGATATGATTAATTTGGAATTTATTATAGGTCAATTTTATTTTAATACGATATATATGTAATATGTATATAATATGTCTTAACTTAGACTGATATACCGTCTCCACTCAGAATCGTTTTTCTTATACAATGATATTATATCATTGAATTCAAATTTAATACCATCCATTATACAGTGACCCACTTATAACCTACAGTACAGCAGAGCACCTTTTTTAAATTACAAATAATGTATAATCAATTAGGTATTACTAATCAGTAATTGCATAATATTTTTTCAATGAAAATTATTTGCGGTGGCAAAATATCTAATCATACCTCATTATGTTTATTACATATAAAAGACATTGTTAAGCAATACAAATTCAAACATACAATATAGTGTAGTTTAATGATGTTTAAAAAAATTTAATTGAATCGTGCGTCGACTGCAATACGTAGAAATGAAACATATTGTACATACAACAAAATTGAAAATTTCTTACAAACCTTGGTTATAGTAGATAATATATGCTTTTGAAATTATAATAATTTGTGTATGAATCTTACTATTAATCAATTTAAGTGTATATACATATATATATATGTGTGTGTATGTGCTACATCAGTTACAAATTAACAATGAATAATAATTAAGTGTTAGCTGTAGTAATTCTTATGATTATCAGAGTATGGTTTAGTTGCAAATTGGTAATCAGTATTGATACAATGATGAATCTTTTTGTTGTGTTTCTGCTACATCTGCATTGATGAAGTCATTTCTAGTATAATGTTTCTGAAATAATACAATTGCATACAAATATCTGCTGATATATTTTTAGAGTACATAAATAATTCTAAATAATTTACCACCTAGTGTGCGAGTCGCAGTCAGTTTAAATGCATGTTTGACATTTGATACAAATACATTACAAAATCCGCATCAAGAGAGAAGCACGTAGAGGTTGTCGAATTTCTCCTATGCCTTAGTAGCAGTACAACAATGATTCTGTTTCTGTTACATCTGCATTGATAGTCATTTTTAGTATAATGTTTCTGAAATAATACAAATGCATACAAATATCTGCTGATATATTTTTAGAGTATATAAATAATTCTAAATAATTTACCATCTAGTGTGCGAGTCGCAGCCAGGTTAAATGCATGTTCGGCATCAGTTACGTATTCATTACAAAATCCGCATCCAGAGAGAACCACGTGGAGATCGTCGAACTTTCTCTCCTCCGCGAGTCGTACTTACGACTGCTTATAAACCATGTGTCACACAGATCGGATTCGATGTTCATTAAGTTCTTGTAGACTTCATTGTACAGTTATATCGCTTGTAGAATTTCTCTGTACACAATGTTCTTAGTGACGAATCTACCACGGCCATCACTGTACATAGCAACTCTAATGGATTTTATGGATTGAGAGTCCCTCACTCGGGAAAACGCTGCATACAGTTGTCCTAAAATAAAGTTTAAAAAAGTAGAATATAAATGATACCTATGTATTTATTAATATAATATATATAAATCATGTATAATACATTTTTGCATGCCAACGACATAATAAAAATGTTGACAAATATTACAATATTTTAAACATAGTTTTACACCTTTGGAGGAATTTAAATTCAATTTATTATAATTTTATAACATATAATATGTAAATGTAGTTTTCTTGTTTTGAAATTTGCTTGAAATATTGCAAAAAATTAATACGTGTAACCCAATGTAAAGGTTAGTACAGTTATAAGGTATGAATTGAAGTAATTAAACTTGGTAATACAATATTAGTATATTATAATCGAGGGGTAAACGCCTTGGGGGTAATCATGGGTAATCATAGGTAATCTTTGTAGTAAGTCATGGGAAATCATAGGTATAATCATTTAAATCAGTAATCTGGTGTACAAACTTTCTGTAATTACCCCTCGTATATAATATAATAATATTACATAATTGAAATGTATTGAATTTACTTATTATTACTTACCTTATTACGTATGTAACGACATTGTCATAAACAATCGACACACCAAGCTCCTACTAAAACTCTTAGTTATAATAGTCAAATTTACTGCAATACTCGTGAAAAATGTCTATCTAATCCGTGCATTCAAACTACTTATATTTTTAATATTATTGAAATGCTGAATGGCTGAATGGCGGCTTCCACAACGGTACGATAATAAAATTCATAATAATGACATTTACATAACACTTGAACAGTTTCTGAATATTGCGTTTTACATATTATATATATTTTACACACGGAAATATCACAAATTTTGTAAAAATCGCACACTTTTTTATTATATTATATAATATATAGAAATACGGAATAACTCGGGAAAATAATATTCGAAAATATTCACGTCAATCGTCGATAACGAAAAGGGAGATAAGCGAGCCGCGACGTGAAAATTTAGCGAACGCGCGAGAAGTAATATGATTGGTCGTCATGGAAGAAACGCGGAATTCCTTATTTGTCGCGTCGCGCCTGGTGGCGAAAAACGGAGACTATTTGTGTTTTATAATATAAGAGATTATTATAAAAAAAAATGTCTGCAAGATAGTCAAATTAAATTTGTATGAGCGTTTGAAATTCATATTTTTACAACATTTGATATTCACTCGATTTCTCATGTAACGATTTTTTTATTTTGTTGTAATTAAAAAACGTGTGACTGTAGATACTTGAAAAATTCACTGAATGTTTATATTACCATTTTCTATACACGATAAAATTTTGAAAATAATTTGACTCTTTTTGAGCTGTTTACGGACATTGTCGGTTTTCAATTTTTTTAGTTTTTTTTCTCTGAAAAAAACCAATAAAATTTTATTTGTTGGGTAAAAAAACGTGAAAATTTAATTTAAGGCTCCTGACATTTCGTTCTAATAGCAGTTGAAAAATATTTAAAATACATAGGCACAATTTTTTTTTATTGTCATTTAAAGTTCAAATTTTGACAAAATTTATCAAATTTATAATTTAATAATTATTTTGTAGTTAAAAATTTAAAACAAAGTTCCACGTAAATAGGTTATATATTAATTAATTTATTCACAATAATATCATCAAATATACTTATTAATATCATAGGCTGACTGACCGTTTTCGCTCAGAATTTTTTTTTTAATATTTAATAATAATTTTTAAATTTAAATAAGGTGAAACTCGCTCTGCTGATTATAATTTGAATAATTTTATATTTTTGTCTGCACAGGTGGTAATTGCAAAGCAAGGTAGAATAACATACGAGACTACTTCAGAAAGTCTTTGAGTAAAAGAAGAACCACAAGTGGACAAGCTGTTAAAAAAAGTGAAACCGTACAGATTTGAAAGCCAGCTACAGTTTTTGCTTGAATACATGGAAGAACGCGAAACAAAGGGGAACATTGGAAGGCATCCTGACACTGAATATGCAGAACTTAATAATGATGATGAAGGACAAGAATCTCTGCAAACAACTGATATTCCTAATTCTTCAGAAGTATCCAAGCAACCAGTCAGCCAGTCACTCACCCAACATAATCCTACTTCTAGCAACCATACTCTTTCTCCAGAAATATCCAAGCAACCAGTCAGCCAGTCATTCACCCAACCTAATCTTTCTTCTAGGAACGATAAACCTTCTTCCTCTGCTGTGGAATTTGCTAAGCCTAGTAGGAAAAAAAATATTCAACCTGAGACAGCAGCATCTACACTCATGAAGTGCTTACTTGAAAAAAAGGAAGAAGAGACAAAATCAAGCAAAAGTGGACTACAAACCGTAACTTTGGACAACCCTATCGACTGTTTCCTCTTTGGGATATCACATACTTTAAAATCACTACCTCCATACTTGCAGAATATAGCAAACTGATATTTTTTCTACAGTGCAAAAGTTGGAGTTGCAATCGATGCAAAATTACTATCCTCGACATCCAAATCAGTTGGAAACCATTGACGAAACTTCTTCTTCCCAAGATACAGCAAAAGAATATTGGGAAAATTTCATATCTGATTAATTATAAATTATATATAAATGTATGGTAATAAATATAATATAAATTTAATTTTTGATTACATGAATATATCATTAAGAATTTTGAGTAGTTAATACCTAATTATGAATAGATTGATTACCTTGGCAATGACAGTTGAAAAATATTAAGAATACAGTCATGTTTTTTTTAATAAGCATTGTAAGTTCAAATTTTGAAAAAATACGTAAAAATCACGATAATTTACAAATTATTTTGAATTTGACTTAAAATAGTGTTGCCAAATACCAGGGTGGCCGAGTTGCACTTACTGCGACGAGTACCTACACCCAAAAGTACTTGGACAATCACACATTTTTTAAGAATTATAATTTTTTAAGGTGATCAGCTAGTTATTTATAAATTACAAACACTTGCCTCAAACAAACCGCCAGTCTTTCTCTTGCAAAAATAGCCCGTCTCCAGCATGTGTCTTTTTTTTTATACTTCTCCACTTTTGTTAGCAAATCACAAAATGCATTTTGGCTCATTCTAAAATATTCATAAAATTTGAATTCGTGGTCCACCAATCCTCTATACAATGTTGCAAATTCTCCTTCGGTGTCTCGAAACTTCCATATGGGATGAACCCAGTGTCTTCTTTTTTCCTTCTTTTCGTCCTCGTCCAAAAGCAATGCTATTATACTAAGCTCTTCTATACTAAAATCCATGGTGCACTCAAAAAGTCAATTAATTAAATAAATAAACACTAAAAATTGAATTCCGAATAACAGACAGTAGACAGTAGACAGTAGACAGTAGACAGTAGACACGACTGATCACGAGGGAGCACTGATATGAAAAGGTACGGTATTGTGAGGATGGAAGTGAAAAATACATCACGGATGGCACTGAACATGGAAGGCTACGGTCACGTCACGTCACGTCACTGTTATGTGTGAATCGACCTTAACGGACAAAACCAACCCACCCCTGGTCAAAAAAAATATTTTTAAAAAAAACACAGATAATAAACCACCGGGGGCGTGCAGATATTGTGGGGAACTCCATTGGAACGACAAGTGTCCAAACAGACTGACCACGTCGGGAAACGGCGGGAGTCGACGAGGACTAGTCCCCCTCATCGACTCATCACCACCCACTATCGGTAGTACACACGGAAAAAAAACACGTAAACAAAAAGCGCGTAGTTCGGTAAATCAACACACTGAACAACCAACTACGAAATTTTTTTCCTTCACATCACCAGTCGACACCCGTTCACAGACCACCAACCTACACCACCCCACCACTGAACACACTCACCTCACCGGTGACATGTGTGCTCAAACACAACCGGCTCATGGGGCAGCCACAGACAAAGGCAACATGCCGAAGCGGAAATCTATTACTTATGCCATTACCCACAACGTGCGCAGGACTGCACCTGCCCTGGTAACCGATAGTAGGCTGGCCCTTATCGGCACAATACTGGATAACATGTTAGCCAGTATTACACCAGTACTTTTAAACTAGCACAGCCTGTACTGGCTGCCAGTACTGACTCAGTACGGACACATTGCGGACACCGTATGAATTGCGACCTTGGGCCAGTTAGTGTTAGTCGTGGTTGTGCCAAGCGTTGGCGGTATACTGACATATTACGGGTGATTTACGAGTTGTGAGAGTTATGCTAATTCTGAGCTAAGGGCTTAAGGCCAGCCCTTATCTCTTGTAGTTGGCTCATCACCATCACACAACGAGCTTGACAGTCTTGGAAAGTACTTGTGTAAAACATTTGTTTTGTTTAAATTGAAATGTGTTAATAATATTATATTCAGTATTATTTTCGTAAGTATAAACCAATTTAGAACCTAGGTATATTATTACATTTAAATATTGTATTATATAATATTTAATATTATTTAGGATATTAATTATACAAATATAGAAATTTGTTGTTGTTGATCAGTTTTTTTCGGGAAAACCCATGTAACGACGTATGTCTCTGTCGCCGCCACCGCCTCGCCGCACGCAGCACTGCTGTTGTGCTATCGTGTACTGAGTACTGACCACTGACGCGCTGAAGCAGTAAACCGCTCTTGTCAATCAGTAATTTATTTATTTCTTGTGTCATAAATATTTGTATGTTATATCATAAAAAATATCTACAACCCAGCCACCTAGTTGCTACGTCGGTTTTATACATTGTTTGGTAAGTACCTATCTTCTTTTCTTATTACTCATTAGTCATTAGTTATTTATAATGTATGTTAGTTTTAACTACCTACTATATACATTTATATAGATATCGTTACCTATAGATCTCAAATACCAAACATGATAATTTTGGTGAAATGATGGTTAAAGTACCTATAATTTGTAAGGTACCTATCACATGTGTAATAACAATATTCAGTTATTAAATTACCTAATTCAATATTGTTTTTTAATTTCTTAAATTACTATTAATATTACTATTATACTCTTTTTATACCTATTTAACTATACTTTTAATGTTTAAGAAAATAGTTTTCATTAAATTTTCTCAGCTATTGTAATTAAAATTATTTCAATCTCTTAAACTCAAATGTTTATTTATATTATTATTATTGTTATTATTATTATTATATCGTTAGGTTAGTTGTTAATATTGTAAGTATTGTTAGTTAATATTGTGGATAACCAAAAAAAAAAAAATCAACAAGTTGAAGAGTAAAAGTTGTAAAGAAAACATTAAAATGTGAATGTATTAGGTATACATATATTTTTTATAACTTAATTTATTTTTAATATTATCATTTTTTTTATATATTATAAACTAGGTATGATATGGTTGGTTACAGATATGGATTATAAGAAAAACTCAACACATGCTGTTATAAAATTTGACGAAAAAACAGTCGACGGTAAAGATTGCATTGATTTCATACCCTTGTCATGGACATATGTTAAGAATGGATTATTGCACTGTAAATATCCAGATAAAAAATATTATGCAACAATTAATAAGATGAGCAATACTTTGTCTGGCTATAAAGAATCTTGGAAAGGCTTTGGCATCAGCATAATTTCAGAAGCTAGTAAGTAAGACCTTAATTAACTTATTTACAATGGTATGCATAAGTATTTAACTACCTTTATAAAATTAGTATTTAATGAACAATAAGATTTTATTTATAACCATGCATTATTCGAAAGAATACATTTAAAATTTAAAATGCTAAAACATATTAGCAAACTCTAGTTATATTTAATTATATAGTTAATATTATATAGTTTCAATTATAAATTATTTTACTATTTTAAATGGTGTTAAGAACCCCTGATTAGTACATATTTTATTTTTTATATATCTATATATGTTAACAACATATATAGACAATCATAATGCAGAGTGTGTGTCGTAAGACGCTGCTACCGTTGGAACCGCTGAATAAGGGTTTTTTTATGTGAGACGGGGCACCGTCACGACAACACACAGGGAGTCAGTCAGTCGTAGAATTACGAGTGTTCGATTAACAGTTTGTAGCTACACTTAATTTTTACTACCAGTTTTAATAAAAATACATTAATTATTTTAATCTTCAATTGGTGAGTACGTTTTTTTTTGTGTTGTGTGTAAAATCCATAACAATGGTAAAAATGCTGTGGATGTAATTTTTTTATTTGAGTTTCATAGTTAGTTAGATAGTCGAGGGCAAACATAAATCTTGGGACACAAAACTACCCTCAATTCTATTTTCGATACGAAACAGGTGTAGCGAACTGAAAGGCTACCCACCCGCGGTCCTTGTTCTCGGCAGGGAATGCAAGGGACCCGGAGATTGGGCGCTGTCTAAAGCTGCGCCTGTACACATCGAAAAATCACAGGAAGAGGAGGGTAGAGCGGGAAAAACGTATTTCAGGCAAAAAGGTAGTGGTAAAACCAAGCACGAACACCGGCACACCGGTGAAGTTCGACAAGATCGACGTAGTCTACTACAAAGCACACCACTTTTCTAAGGCACATAAAGATTTTCATGCCGGGTTCGCACCAAAGTGGTGGGGACTGGTAAGGCTAACGAAACAGGTCGGTAAAGGAGTCTTTCTAACCGACGCGACCGCCGCGGAAAATACATGTGTCATGCCTGAAACGTGCACCAATAGAGCAAAATTAAATTAACTTTTTGTCTGTACTAAGCATCATTTACAGACAACATGACCGGTCAACAGCAGGAGAAGTGGCAGCAGGTGGCCAACCTGATCCAACGGCTGGGGCTGGTGTCCAGTGGTCAAGATGAGCCGCGAACAGCCGCCCAGGTCTCGAGGATGACGACCCGCCAACTCCTTCAGGACCCACAGGCGGACATCTACAACCGGGGCTGGGTGGACTGCACAGCGGACATCCAACGGAGGCTGCGGCTACAGCGACCATCATCGACACCCAGCAGTCGCAGCCCGTCACTGGTACAAGTGTACCCCGTGTGGCGGTTTGGCAGGGGAGTATGACACGGTACGCAGCGACCGGTCTGCGCTTTTGACAACCGCCACCATCTACAGGCTACGAGCGCGACATCGCCAACTCTCCCACCACGCCGCAGAGGCAAGGCGGGACCGGAAGGCAAGTCGCGCAAGACGAGTACCGGCCGCCGGCGGCTCGCCCTCTTGCTCAGCAACCGTTCGCCGAACTAGACGTCGACCTACACCGTATCTTTGATTAACGCACCAAGTGTCGACCACGTTTTCGGTTTAGCCATTCTACTGTGTTCATTACCGTTTACTCGTCAAATATACATCCCTCGCGGACAATACATCGAAACTAGTGTTTTTTTTTTGTTCCTTCGTACAACTCGCCAACACTTTACGACCGGCTTACCGCGGACACCATACAACCATCGCTGTAGACGCGTCAGTAGGTATTATGTAGGTAATTTTTACATTATGCATCCTACATGTCTATATATTTATTAAGTACTCTCTGTGGTAATATATTGTTTTGGTATTTTATCGTTATGTTAAAATTTAAATTTTGATGATAAATATTTTAGTTTAAATGATTAACATCAACTTACATAAATCTGACAGTCTCTATCTAATTGTTCCATTTCCATATCTGCCAAGGTATTGTCCACAGTAAAACAATTATTATTTTTAGATTCATCGTTTATGGAAGAATTAAGCCAAGTTTGTACTTTATCCTAATTTTATAACCCATTTTAAATATTATACATACTGTATCATATAACACACCTATACATATTATCATATATGAACAATATTAAATAACCTGCAGATAATCATTATTTACTATAGTATTTGAATTTATCATGTGGCCATAAGTTAAACGTTTAGCTTCAAATGCCTGAAATAATAATAAATTATACAGTATTAAGTAAATCATACATTTTTGAACAAGGAATACTTTCTTAAAAATGTATATTACAAAAAAAAATAAAAGTTTGTTTACTTACTGAAGTCGCTGCATTAATCATTTTGTTTATACGTGATCTTCTCATTGTGATTGTGGAAGGTAATGAGGAATATAAAATAAAATATAAGGTAGTGTTTTCTTAAATTATAACAAAAAAATCATTTCTAAACAGTAAAAAGGAAATTATTTATTAAATTTTAAGTTTTAACTATAAATTATAGAGTATAAATGACAAAAGATTTCTGATTAGCAATACGATTTTGGAGGGAAATGGTAACATAATATCTCACTTTGTAATGAAGTTAGTAACGAGATAGATACATTTTATGAAAATTTGAATTACACAGAATTTTAAATAAACGCATGGCATAAATATAATTATTAACAATTAATTTTAAATAATTGAACAAACTTAAATTTAAAATTAATTTACATAAAAATATAATTAAAAATTAAAAGACCCATTTGGAAAAAAATATATTTAATGACAATACAAATACGTAGGAAAATGAGCGTTTTGTGTTGTTGAAATATACAAGTAATATTAGTATTCAAACCATGTAAACACACGTGCGTGTACAATGTCGTTTTCTAATAGATACTTATGCAGTTACGATATAGCTGTAGCAACACCTTTACTATCGCTTTCTATATTATATACGGATACGGGATGGCCTCGAATCTCGATTGTTCATATAAATAGGTCCTTTGATGTATGTAATACTCACTTGCACAGACTCTGTCATACCGAGTGTACGCGGTGTGTGTGTATAGTCACAGTTTAATTGTCCAGTTGTACGTTCTTATATATTATACTTATACATAATCATATTGTCATGTTATTACTTATTATATTAATGCTAAAATCACTAGTACGTCAAGCTTCACTTTCAACATGTTTCATTATGGAAATAGACCTTTTTGACAAATAATGAAGGAAATAGTACGTTGTGCAACGAATTTCTGTGTATAGTACACTTTTAATGTTGGAAAAGGTATATTTTGAAGTTAAATGGTAAAAGATTGTTTTGAATTGAAGGATATCATGGAAACGTTTTGCAGAAAACGTAGTTTTTCTTTCATCGTTTTCTTAAGGAAAAAGACCGTTTTGGCTTATAATAATACGACCATTCGATTCCCCATGCAATTTACCATAAGAATCAATGTATAACTCAATTTTCTTAAAAATGGAAAAGGTACGTTTTGCATTGAGGCCCCTCATTTATGTTATACTCCCGATAAATTGTTATCAAAGTTTTTTCCACATTATCCTGTTAAAAATCGTGTTCGAAAAACGCTTTTCAATGTAAGTTTATTTTATTACATTTTACTTTGGTTGTAACTTAAATATCTAGTAATTTAATTAAACTAATCACCAATAAAAAAAAATATTATTTTGTTAAAAATTGCAGAATGCGGTATTCGTAGTCAGTGCTTATGGGGTGACAGTGGCCGATCCCGGGGAGGGTAAAAGCTTTTACCCCCCCCCCCCAAATCACCGTAGTTTTCCTTTGTCTTACACTGTGTTTAGCCAATTTTGGAACTTTTTGTACTTTTGCCCCCCCCCATGCCCCTCCAAAAATTAAGTCCTGGATCCGCTACTGTGGGGTGATGAGAGTCATTTACAAAATGACTACCATTACCCCAGACACAGATGCAAGATTAACAAACTAACTTTTGAATCTTAAATTGTATTTTTATATTATTAAATAATTTAAAAAATTTGATTGTAATTTAATTAATTATATTTCAGATGCCAAGATCATATAAAAGAAAAACCACCATTGGAGGATCGTCTGAAAAGTCACTGAAAGCTGCAGTGGATTTAGTTTTGAAAAAAAAACTTAGCATTCGCAAAGCAGCAGACTCGTTTGATATTCCATTTAGTGCATTACAAAAAAGGATAAAAACTAAGAATTTTGAACCGCCAGGTTTGGGATGTATCCCTATTTTTACACCAGACAAGAATATGATATGGCTGAACATATTAAAAGTTTAACAAAACTGTTTTATGGCTTAACACCATTGCAACTGAGACAAGCTGCATTTTATTATGCAGAAAGAAATAACATACAGTATCATTTTAATATAGAATTAAAATTAGCTGGAATTGATTGGTTTTATAATTTCATAATGAGAAATCCATCAGTTACTGTCAGAAAATCAGAAGCTATAAGTATAAGTGGAATCACTGCCTTTAATAAAGAGGAAGTTTCTTTATTTTTTAATAATCAAGAAAGTCTAATGAAAAAATACAAGTTTACTGCCACAATAATTTTTAATATTTATGAAACCACCCTGGAAATATACTAGCCCCCAAAGAACAGAAACAAGTTGGATCTTAAACAAGATGGGAAAGAGGCAAAAATGTTACGGTTATTTGTGCCATTAGCGCATCTGGATCCTATATACCTCCAGTCTTTATTTTCCCTAGGAAGAGGATGGACAGCAAACTGACAAAGAATGGTCCACCAGGTGCTCTGTACGAATGTTCAAAAAATGGGTGGACTAATGATGAAATATTTTTAATATGGGTGAAAAATTTTTCAGATTACTCTAATCCTACAGCTGAAAAACCAGTTTTGTTAATTCCTGATAATCATGGAAGTCACATTACACTAGCTGCTTTTCAGTATTGCAGAGATAATCACATAGTAATGTTGTCATTACGACCTCATAGCTCTCATAGAATGCAACCTTTTGACGTTACCTTTTTTTTGGCCATTGTAGGCAGCTTATAGAAGAGAATGTGATTTTTTTATGAAAAGTAAGGCTATGGTCAAAATCACTCCATATGATTTATCAGAAATTTTTAATCAAGCCTACTTAAATGTAACTAGTATCCAAAAAGGTGTCTCAGGCTTTTCAGCCTGGGATATATCCACTAAATCCCAATATATTTAGCAATGAAAATTTCTATGCAGCTAATACATTTTGCCAAAATGGTATTAATTAGAATAACGATATTATTATAACTGTTAATCAAAACTTAACAGATTCAAATCAGAGCTACAGCAATCAATAGTATCAATATCCAACAACTTCAAACATGTCTCTATAAATTTTTATTCCAGCAGTACAGTGTACTCCATCTCCCAGGAATTCAAGTGTTAAAATTGAGGAAATAACTCCTGTTCCAAAAACACTTCCTTCAAAAGTTATCGAAAAGCAGCTAAACAACATTAAACTATCATTACTGCATCTCCTATGAAGGACAAATTAATTGATAGAGAAAGAAAAAGACATATGAAAAAATCAAAAGAAGAATCTGGGAATATTAAAAAGAAACGAATATTGAAAAAACCAACAGTCAGTGGTGAAGTTCCTAACTCTTAATAACTGTATCATTATTAATGTATACCTAATTTTTTATTTTTTTTAGTTTTAAAGAGAAAAATGATTACTAAAAGAAAATTACTAAATGAATTAAACGCAACTCACAATTCCAACCTTTCTACTTCTAACACTGACACCGACATCCTACAATATGTGATGATGTGGATGATGGTACTGAAACTTTTTTAATCTGTGAAGAAAGAGGCAAAGGCGAAGTTTGGTATAGATGTACAAAATGTGGATTTTGGATACATGCAGAATGCAGTGATGCAGATTCACCAACAAATTATGTATGTGATGGTTATAATAGAAGAATGTCTAGTAAATAATTTTAAAATATTGTGTTAGAAGTGTATTATTAACTATATTTAAATATTAAGTTCCTATTACAAAGTTATGTTACCTACCCATTATTTAAAAGTCTAAGAAATAAAATTAAATAATTAAAAAATATTTTGTTACATAATATGTATTGTTAACAATTTTTAAATATTAAGTTACTGTTACAAAGTTATCCCAGGCTTACAAAGTTATGTTACCCATGTTATTATGTAGAGGTTATTATTAATAAAGGCAAACATTAATACAATAATTACTATTTTTTTTTTTATGAAATTATGATTAGAATAATAAAAATTATGATTTTCCCTATTAATTTGCATGGGTTTTTGAGTGACTATCATTACCCCTCCAATGTTGGTAATTTCCATTAAAAAAAAAAAAAAAAATAAAATATTTACATTTGTTTTACAAATCTGAAATGTAAGTATGTTGTACCTAACAAGTTAATACCTCTTTTATTTGTATTTAATAATGTTTCGGACTAACCATTTGTCAGAAATAGAAGTTCTTGCTTAGGTGACTGCCATTCCCCCATCCTGTCAAAATTCGAACTTAAATGCATGTAAAAAAAATTGTGAATAATTATATTAAATATTTTTTAACTGTCATTGTAACAATATATTAGGGGCCTTGTATTCAATTTTCAATTTATGAATATATCCGTAAACAGATCAAAACAAGTCAAAATATTTTGAAAATTGTATCCTGTATATAATATGCTAATATAAACATTAAGTAAAAATGTAATGCATGTACGGTACCTATATTGTTTTAAAGTTACACCAAAAATCATAATCAATTTTGTCAAATCGAATTTTGGGTCAAAATTCCTGTTTTCCTTAATTTTTTTTTGTTTTCCTCTTTGTTTTCCTTTGAATACTATTGGGAATTTTTACTTCCCCCTCCCCTCTAAAATACCAACTATATTCACTTTCCTATTGAGGAAGCAGATTAACAAAACGTGCTCTGGTGGAAATAATTTGTACTTTCCGATTCGGTATGTATAGATATAGTTTTATATTGGTTATTTTACTTTTTATAATAAATTAATTTGTTATCGAAACTTTATACACTTTTATAGCTAACTGTATACTTTGGTAAGTACAATTTCTACTAATATTATCAAATACATTCAAATACACTTCACTTAAAGCAAAATGTATATGAAATGTCAGGAAAATACATACAATCTCCCGACTTGCGATCCGACTCCACGTAGGGTTGAACCTGTAACGTGCCCTACAGCGTTACTTGTTGATTTGGAAGCAATAATTGAACAAAACCTCTTTTGATAGTATTTATTGTGTTTATTATATAAAACAGTTTTATAGAAATTTATTCTAAGTCCAAATAATAAACTAAAAGCGAGTTGTGACTATGAGTATTTAGTGTGACTGTTGAAGTTGAGGTTGGTTGTTCGTCTGATGGACGCTTGTCCATCAGCTCTCCTCGATGGATCTCTGTCCCTTGCCACTTCCATACTTTCTAAGACCATATATGGTCCTTCCTTTATTCTAAAACCATACATGGTCTTGCGGTTAAGCCTTTTGTGAATTTCACACGCTTGCACGCGCCGGAAGTCCACATATATCTATATAGCACATTTGTGGTGTTATTCAACAATAATTAATAAATAATTGATAACAGCACAAATCTAACTATATTATTTTAGGATTATCCATATACGTAGTCATATATCTATTGTCGCACGCCGCTCATGGTCACGCGCTCGATATTACTATTATTGATATTATATTATTACTATTCGAAGAAGCGCTCGAGTATAATATTTATATATACGCGGTGCGAATATTATATGATTACGTATGCATTAAATGTGTTTAACCCATATGGCTAAATAGTCACAGCTCGCTACACCTCACCGCCCTTTCAAAGGTTTTTGTGGGGCTACAAAAAGCTTTAAAATTTTTACATAGGTGAAAGTTTACAATTGGTTTACATAAATTACATAGATCATGAGTTTACAGATACAATATATAAATAATTAATCATTGTCTTATTATGACAATTTACAAGATAATTTTTAGTACATTTTTTTTTTTTTAGATTACTCGTCTAGAGTATTACAATTGATTAAATTGATACAATAATGTTACATATATTATAAAATTTAAATACAGATAAAAATATTTGTTAGTAATTCGATTAAATTAATTGATTAAAATACAATAGTTCCAATACAATATTAATATAATATTTAATGTTATAATAATAAATGTTAGTTTACATAGGTATATAATATTTATTGATTACAATAAAATGTTGGTTAATAGTAATATTTGATTATTAACAATTATAATAATATTTAAAATTTTAAATTCTCCAATGGTATATTGACCAGTATATATTAATTTCCGTTATATTACCTATCGTAAAACAGTATATCTGTTGCGTGGGGTATAATTTCGATGTACCTAGCCAAATCCATACATATTGGATTTGTTAGATCCCTTTCCAATACCATATCAGTTACAAACCTTTTTACACATTTTATTATTTCCAAAACCTCTCTGCTTTCGTATGGTACCAGTATTGCATTATTAGCAGAAATTATGTGATAGTCAAAGCATTCTGTAAAGTTATACCATTCTCCCTGTTCTGAGTTCGTGTGTGTCTGGATTGCTATACTAATGTTAAGTTCTTGTAATAACTGTTCATTCCTATCCATTTTAGATTACTGTTTCCTATAATATTAAAATGTTGTTATTTGCAATTTTGAATTTTGAAGCTTTAAATTTTTAAATTGTTAAAAATGTTTAATTAAATTTTCATATTTATAATTCCGTACGACGAAGTCAAAAATACATTTTGTATATATGACATCCGTTCGTGGGTCGTGTGCATGTGTAATTTTGTGTTTTTTCCTGCAAATTAAGTTATGTGCTTCTGTAAGATTTAAGGTTCTCCCTGACTTATCATAAGTACCTACTTCTATTTCAAAAATTGTCCTTTTAGGGTTTACTGTCTCCAATTGCATATAAAATTGCTTATTAAAGTATTTATCATAACAAGTTAAATTTAATATAGGAAACTCTGTTATTCCTAATCTTTTGAGAATGACCTTATCAGAACTACCTTCCCATACTACTAACACATTAATCTTGTCACCACGCAGTATATAGTTTCGTATATAGGTCGCATTTAAACTATTTACTGGGGCTCTTAGACTCTGGTTTAGTTGTTCCAAACATATGTCTCGCAGTTCCGTTTTCGCCTTAAAAATTCGAGCCAACGCTCTCTGTGCAACTAATACTTCACGGTCTTTCATCGGTCGTACTTCCCCGTCTTCTGGTAAATATAATGGTCGTCCTTCTAACTTCCTTATTTTAAAACGGTCCAAACTATTCGAAATAGCTCCTGAGATGAGGACCTTACTGGTTTTATGGATATTGGTGAATTCAAAATCCATTATCACGAATTTGTGGGTATTTTCTCTATATACAAATATGAATATCTAAATTAATTATACAATTACTACAATTTAGTTACGTTATTAGTTATCTATCTATTATTGCTGGTAAGTTAGCGGGATTAGTATTTATATTCCTATCAACAGTATCTGAAAATGAGGTTTCTTGTATGTTTTTATCCTTTTCTTCATATGACTTACAGTGTACTATTGGTCCTTGCAAGTCATATGTCTTACTACATTTATTCATTGGTTCGTAAATTGCCTGTCTGAAAAATTTACTTTTTCTTACTGGCTCCTCAATATGTCTTATTCTCATGGAACGTGTACCTATTAAGTTTTTATTGTACACGTACATTACGTACAATAATAAAATTAATATTAAAGAAAATAATAATAAACCTAATAACACATAGATTAAATAAGGTTTAGTTTGGTCTGCATTCCCGTTTTGTTTGTCCATTTCTTTATCTACCATTGATTGTATATCATTCAAAGAATGAGCTAATTCATGGACGTTATCCAGTTTCAATAAATCATGCCTTTGGGTATATCTTGGTATTGCCAATAAATTTAGTTTAGGAACTTTTAAAGCCAAACTCCCTATTCCTAATTTAGGTATAAAGTTGACGT